TGCAAGATGAGTTGAAATCAAGAAAACAAAACTCACTCAAAGATTCGGACAATTGCGGGAAATCATAAATGTGTTCACAAGTGTTTTTACTATTCGGTATACAGAAACCGAATTCGAAATCGAAACTTTTCAGGAGTCGATCACGAAAGAAGTGACGTTCGATCATGCGAAATTTGTTCACTGCTTTATTACCCACCACAAACTCCACACTGTAAATAATACCATTTGCAGTCGTCATAAACGTATGTTCCCATAAACGAAAACAAAGCAGCGATACTCACGTTGCTCCGACACGTTTCAAACGTAAAAATGCAGGTGTGAACTGGTAGCGTACGAATCTGGCTGCACTCGCCTCTTCCGTAGTGATCACCACATTGTCATCTGACTCCTCATCTCAAATTCATCTCATATTCACGATCCGATCGCAGATGCACTAACAACTCATATCGAGTTGCTAACCCCAAAATCCAACTGTCATACCAATATAGATAAAATGGAACAGAAACTTCAATAAAATTGTAAAGAAATAAACTCTGACCACTGGTTGGTTTGGCGATTTCGAAAAGAACTTGTTCAGTGTCCAGATCACGAATCTTGAAGCGTGTAAACTCAATATCGAATACGTTCGCGTCTGGATCACATAAATAATCTGAACACAAAATTGCATTTCATCTCATCTTATCTTTCAAATATCAAATATCTGCAAACAACTCATTCATTCCCCACAAATAAAATTCATCACCAATAACTATCAAAACAAGCACCTCTCCTAACTTATATGAATCTCTACCTGTGTTCACAAGTACACAGGCTAGATACACAGATGAACTTATTGATTCAAAAATCACAATTCTAATTCCATAGCAACGAGAGTGCTCATCAGATCCGCAGACTCGATAAAGCGATTCCCTAATGTGCCATCATCCTGTTACCGAAGTGGTATGATTTTCAATACTTTCTTATACTGTTCATAATTGGCTTCACTCAGGCGATAGCTTACAAAATGATAATAATAATTAATCACAATGAAATGCTAGCATCAAAAATAAAAAAATAAAGTTTTGGAGTAAAGGTAATGTTTAAGTGTAAACGATATAAATAGTTATATGTCAACTGTATTGCTCACATTAATCGTAAAGGCTGAAATTAAAAGTTAGAGAACAGTCTCTG